ATCTCATGCAGTGTACATCCTCAGCCTCTGTTACTAAGTTTGATAATGTTCTTTAAAGAGCCTTTCCCAAGAACATCACACCTTGGATTGTGAACTTGGGTGTAAAGCTGCCAGAGAACAATTCTTTTGAGATGAGCTGGCATTCTTTTCCAGGGAGATGAGCATGTGAGTCTGCCCTCACTTTAAGAAAAGGAACGTGTCATATGCTGCCTCTAACCTTCTGGGGCTGGTCAGAAGAGAGAGTCTCCACACGCTTGGTGAACAGGGGATACGTGGCACTTCCCTTTAGACCTGTTCCACCACGTAGCCTCTACCTGAACTCAGGTGCAAGGACCGACAACGGAACTTCTGGAGCCTCGGCCTCCCACTGGCTGCCGCATGCTTATGAAAGGTGTGAGCACACAGAACTCATTCAGCACCACCTCCAAACAATAATAAATGTGCCCTTCACATATCCTTTCATCACGGCATAGTGCTTAGTCAAATTGAGGCTCCACCAGAAAGGGATTTAGGCTTTTGGAGATTAAAATGGGTATTCTTGTATCATCTTGGCAGAAATTTAAAACATCTAAGGGAACAGGTTTGTTTTCCAGGATTCCTCACATGGCTTCATTCTAATAATATTTTCAGGACTCGTTATTCAAGTAAAAATAAATATAAAACGACAAAGTTAGTAGGAAAATTGTAATTTCAAATCCCAAGAGACTAAAACTTGGAGCATTTCAAGCAATATTTGTTTAAAAAGTACATCTTTACATGTTATTGGTAAGGAAAGAAGAACAAACCTTTGCCTTTTTCACTTCTGCAATTTCTTTATTGAAAAGGTGAAAAAAAAAATGGCTGCAAAGTTAATGAAAAGCCTAATATCCAAGGTTTTCTATGGTATGTTTTTGGTTCCCATTAACATAATTAACATAATCTAGGCATATAAGCATTTTATTTTGCATTGCATTTAGGACAGAATTTCCTAAAAAATTTTTTTAAGACCCTAAAAAATTTCAAAAACATTCTCACACTCTTGCATTTGCGTTATCGAGAGGCTCATAAAAGCAGATGATTTTCACTCATGAAACACTGAAGTGGCCTGGGTTTCCCTGAAAAACCATAAAACAGAACTTTGATGACTACAGCATAATCTCATAAATTATAAGTGAACAACAGAATTTTACACCAGTATACAAAAGTCATGGGTCTCCATGTGATTTTTTTTAACCCTCTAAGACATTATGTACCAGCCAAGAAGTATCCTGAATTAACAATTTTGCATGGAGACTTTATTGCAGATATAAACAAGTATTGTCTGTGAAGTATAAAAAAGAAGTATATTTTCTAAATGTTTCAGTTCTTTACTGTAGCTTATTTGTAGTTTGTTTCTCTTAATTAATTTCCATTGAATTAACTAGTCACTTAAGTACACTAGATTTCATCTGAACATTTTCATTAAACAACACGAGAGACCCACTAAATACAATCTACATGAGACACCTTCTCAAAGCTTCATTTTCATTCCAGATAAGCAGGTACTACTGGCAACACAGAGCATCCATGGAAATCTGTCACTGCATGTATTGGCTCTGGGAGAATAGCAAGAAACTGTCAAAACAGGAAGTAATGTGTGCTTATGGTGTGTAAGCATGATTAAAACTTATTTATTTTTACAACGATTCATAAGTATACTCTGACTACGATCTGTCTGACTGATGTTGTTTTCTATACAATAGAAAGAAAGGAGTAAGGGGAGCGGAGGGAGAGAGAGAATCAGGGAAGGAGGGAACAGGGGAGGGAAGATGGAAGAGAGAGAGAAACGAGAGACAAGGCAGGGAAATAGGGAAGGGAAGAAGGGAGGAGGGATGAAGGGA